TTTATTTGAAATTAATCAACATGGAAAAACGACAAACATTTTATTATCATTAAATCCCACAAGCATATGTGAAATTTAGAATCGAATATGTTGGCATATTAATAAAGCGTGATGGCGTCAAATTATAAGTACTTTTATTGTTTCTTGAAAATAAACATTGGACGATGTTATTAAGAGATTTTATACATGCCTGAATACTGAGATCATAGGCGGCGGAGCCACGAGGCCTGGGTAGGCACGAGCCTACCCTAGATTGGAGGAGGGTAGGCTTGGGTAGGCTCAGGTAAAGGCTTGGGTAGGCTCAGATAAAGGCTTGGGTAGGCTCGAACCAGTACAGATAAAGGCTTGACTAGGCTCAATTTAATGTAAAAATTTTCTAATATTATTAATTTTCGTGTTCTTCTAACAGATGACGCGTTACTACAAGGTCAGTCCACATTTTATCCATTACAAACTCGTGTTCAGTGGCATACTGATTGGTTTTTGTTGACGTCTATATCTACGTCGAATTCTTTATTTTCAATATAATATAAGATAATTTAACTGTTGTTCTAAACTTCTATTCAAAATAACCACAGACGGCGGAGCCATTAAGCCTGAGTAGACTCAAGCCTACCCTACGTTGATGGAGAGTAGGTTTCGGTAGTCCGAAACTAGGACAGACCAAGGCTAGGATAGACTCAGTTAAATATAAACGTTTACTCTTATTGTTTAGTCTTCATATTCGTTTGACAGATAACGCATTTTTACAAGGAGTCCATATTTTTTCTACTGCTAACTCGCATCCAGTGAGGTAGTGATTAGTCTTCTTTAGCATCTATATCGTCATCGGATTCTTGGTTCTTAATATAAGACGGATGAATTGTTTTTTGTAGATTTCTATTTAAAATAACATTTGAATTTTAGGCACTTGAATAACATTACTCCTTTCGTATGCCGATACCAGCTAAATAAAATCAGATTATGTCTTTCTTTCACAATAAAACAACAAACGGCTAAGAACAGTTTTGATGAAAATTGATCTTCTGTTGAACTTGTATCGATCAGTTCAAACGATAGTTAAGGTGAAACAGGATTATATGCAAAAATGTCATTGTTAAAACTATAAAACCTTGACATCAACTTGATCAAGCATCTATTCTGATTTCCTTTCAAAGAATCAAGATAGAAAAAATATTTTGGTGTTGAATAGCATTATTTCTTCTTGGACTTCTCTTTTACTGCTTTTTAAACAGTCTTTTTAAGTTACTTCGTTAGTATCTGTTGTGTCTGGAAACAATAACGCATTAGATAGTTACCCTAGAGAATATACTGAGTTAAGGGTACCCAAAAAAGTACCCTGATACCAGTATGTCACAGGAACTTTTGGGTACCAAAGTACTTGTAGGTACTTACAGGTACCTAAGTGGTACTATGGCAAGTACCCTGCTGGAGAATGCACAGTAATTGGGTACCTATAGGTACTGATCAAGTACTGAATCAAGTACCATTGTATAGTATTTCTAAGTACCCTGTTACCAAATTTTCAGTATGTTCAGGATCGAACCTGATCTTTGACTTTTTAAAATTTTTTCTTTTTCTTGAGATAATTTACTAGATTTTTTTTACTTTATTCAATTTAATTTTTTCAATTCTAAAAACTTAGCAGGAACAATGTCGGGATCCGACTCAACTTGAGTTGGTCGTAGACCACTTCAGGGTAGTCCGATCTTAATTTACAACCAAGCTCGGCATTTCCTCGACTAAGAAATAGTCAAGAAATAATTTAGAAAAAACTAGTATGAAAATTGATTATTTTCTTATGATTTATCGAGTTGTTTATATAGAGCCGTACGTAAAAAAGAAAACGGTGAATGAATAGTCGCCATACAGAACGCGAAAAATTTAGGATACCCTGTCGAGATTTCCTCAGTAAAGTTACAGACTTGTGTATCCATGCAGGTACTTATTCAGTAAATGTACTTTTACGGGTACTCCAAACAGTACATACATCAGTAAAATTACTGAGAATTTTCAAAGTACACATACTGGGTACCCTGCTAGAGCTTTCTCAGTACATGGGTACCCTGAACTCAGTACTTTCTCTAGGGTATCACACTTATAAGGAATTAAAATCTATCAACAAAAACGTATAACGCTCAACATTATAAACAAATGAAGAAAACTATTTTTTGAATCGCTCCCATCCATGTAAATATATTCGAGTTGAAATAAGATTAAAATCGATTATAAACTAACTAGAAATCGATTATAATCATACGACCTGAATCAATTTTAAATCATTTTTTACCTGATATTAATTGAAAATAACCGAAAAAAAGCCAAATTTCATTGATTATTACGATTAGTTCCATTTAAAATCGATAAAAGTTTCATAAAAAAAAGATTTTTCTTTTTGATAAATGAACAAGTCTTCACGCGAATTTGACCGATTCGCATCAATCTTATTAATTGTTTTATACCGTTTTAGCGAGAACGAATCGTAATAATCAATGAAATTTTGATTTTTTCGGTTATTTTCAATAAAAATCGGTTAAAAAATGATTAAAAATTGATCAAATTCGTAGGATGACAATCCATTTTTTATCGGCTATTACCCGATTTTAATCCGATTTCAACTCTATTTTTTTTACGTGGACAGACCTGGTTTGTCTGAAAAGTTGAGCCTACCCTAGAGTGAAATCGTTCCGCCGCCTATGACTGAGATGTTGTAATAAAGGACATAAATTAGTCAATAGCCTAATTAGCTTTTAATGATTAATCACCTGTAATAAATTAATTTATGTATTGTTAATTACCTCTGATGTGATTGCAATTATCCGTATTATCAAAGACATCCTGATGAGTAACTATTGCTGGTGTTAGTTTAAAAAGAAAAAACTGATCAATCTAGGTTTTCTTAGGTTGATCTAGATGAATTTCTGAATTACTATGTTGTATTAACTGTAACCATGATTTTGGGTGTGGGTATGATGGAGGATGTTTCTACTTATACCCACACCCACACCCTTTGTCAGGTAACTAAACTTCTACTAATGAAGATTTTCAACAAATAAAGCAATTCTCTTTTTCACCATTCAATCGATGCAAACTGATAATAATTTACACATTATATTACAGTGAATTGAAAAGAAAGTGAAACATGTAAAGACAATAACACTCATTAAATCTAAATAAAAAATGCCTTATTGTATTAATACTTTGTCTGTTATACAGTTTAGTATAAAAATCTAGAAATAATATTGCTTCTACACCATAGATGTTCGTTCCAAATGTTTAAACTAGATATTTGTTCAGTAGAGAGATAAATACTATCTTATTCTGTATACAAATGAAATGTTTCACTATTCTATATATAATAGTAATTGAAGATAATTACTTGAGATATTCTCTGAAAACTGATCAACGAAAAAAATCTTTTTTATTTTGCTGCTTTTCGAAATCTATCGAATTTTTACACAAAGTACAAAGAGGTCGTTAGAACAATCAATGCTCTATCGAACGATATAAACACTACTGTTGATAGCAATGCAATCAACTTGAATGTTTGAGAAATAATTCACATAGATATGTTATAGACTTCAAGTCTTCTTAAAATAGAGATAACATTTGGTTTAAAAAAACATGCCAAATCAGTTGCTATAACCAAAAGAAAAGTCTCCATTACAAGAAATTCAACTTGATGAATTGTGTTGTATTTTATTGATTCTTAAATTATAATAAATAAATATTAGTTGAACGTCAAAATTTAAAACTTGCTCAATTGCTCTCATATTCAGAGAAGAGAAATAAATTAAAAATAAAAACAACATTTTTCAGAGATATTTCAAAGATGTTTTATGCATGCAGAGAATATTTATTCATTTTTAAGAGAATTTTTTTATAGTGAAATATTTACTTGAACTTTGAATTTTTTAAAGTTAAAGTTTAAAGTATCACACCCCTAACCTCGACCCTACACAAAAATTATATGTTAGGTACAATATCTTTTGAATTATGAGAAAAATGTTTTGAACTTTAAGTATCTTTGACCTGTGAAATTTAAAAAGTAAAACTTGTCCAACATGACTAGTCTAGTTTGTAATGACTTGCAGCCCGTCAGAACTGATTATTTTGACGCAAAAAGTCTTGCAACTTAATATAGACTAGTCCGTTTTGTATAATCATACTGTTCAGACGCGTCAGCATAACGAGAAAAGTAAGACGATAGGTGCAATCGAACATTCGATCCCACAATATTGAATAGCTGACTAGTCCAGTTAATTTTCAATAGCAATCCAGACTAATATGAAAAATCAATTGTTCTCGTTGTTTTTAAGGAGATAGTGTCAGTTTTGATTCAAACTAGTTTAAACTTCTTGTACAGTCTCTTTTGGTTGCACTTAATTATTCGAGTAACTCATCTAGAGATTAGAACGACGTATCCAACGAGAATTGTTATCCTTTAAATTTTTAGACTGTAACAATAATTAAGAATAGTTCTATTCGAGCAATAAAATCTGATGATTTGAAGTGTAATGGAGATTTAAATCGTAGATTTACAGTTTTAATTAGCTAATTTGCTATTGTATAATAAACTGTTTTTTTTTTGTTTATTAATATTAAGACTTGAGAAAGTATAAGCCAAATCATATTAATTAACATTTAAGAATGTCTTATTGACATGTTAAAGTTGATCACTTGATTATATTGTTCAATCGGGTAAAGTATAACATATCTAACTCTGTGCACACACTTACTAGTTCGAACTAGATCCTAATAAATGTTACGTCACTGATGATCTTTCTTTTTTAATTTACAATCTATTTTGGACGGGTACTAAACATTTGAAACGATTTCGGACTAGTCATCTAACAGTCTGTTTTGAGAAAAAAAGACTATACTGAACGTGTCGTTTTTGCTCGTCTGTCTGGATGGGTCTGTTTTCGATCAGTCTTGAATAGGAAATAATATTTAATTTATGATAAACATTTTAGATATCTATTGATATTCTATTTTCGATGTCATCTAATACAAGTAAAAGGAAAGGTAATAATTCAACATTTCAACAGGTGTTGAATAGAACATTTTATAATGTTCGAAAATCTGGTAATTATTGTGGTGGTGGTCGTTTAACAGATATTCATGATCCTAAGATGATGATAAATGGTATACAAGAACATATTACATTTCCATTAGTACCATCACAATTAAAATTAATTATTGAAAAATGTTCATTAGCACCATTCGGTAGACAAGATAAAACAATGTTAGATATATCGGTAAGATAAACAAAAAATTTTATTATCTAATATAATTTCTCTCGTTTAGGTTCGTCATACATGGCAATTAGATCCATCATCATTTCTAATAACAAATTCAGAATGGAACATTCATACATTAAATAATTTAAAATCAAAAATTGTTTCTGATTTAGGTTTGCATAATGATTGGATTAAAAATGATTTAATTGATTTACAATTATATAAATTATTATTATATGAAAAAGATAGTTTTTTTAAAATACATCGTGATAGTGAAAAAGTAGATGGTATGTTTGGTACATTAGTTATTATTTTACCATCATATTATAAGGGCGGAGAATTTGTCATCAAACATAATAATCAAGAACAAAAATTTGATTATTCATCAACAAAATATAAATATGATTATTACTATTTGGTTTTTTATGCTGATTGCGAACATGAAATTCTTCCAATAACAGATGGCTATCGTTTATCATTAGTTTATAATATTGTCGTCAATAAAGAAAAATCACATTTATGTGCAAAAATACCATCTTCTCCTTTAAATGAAAAATATGTTCAAAATGTTTGTCAAGCTTTAATAAAATGGTCTAAAACTATGAATAGTCCATCAAAATTAATTATTCCTTTAAAACATAAATATGTAAGTAGTTTATCATTCTCTTGATGTTGAGTTTTTTTTTTTAAACAAAATTTCAACATATTTTAGACAAAAGCAAATATGTCGCCAAATTTATTAAAAAGTAAAGATCACACAATTGCTAGTTTATTGAAACGTTCAATAGCAGAATTAAACAAAAATGATTCAAATCAAAAGTATTTATTATATTGTGGAATGTTGTATTATAAAATTCCAAAAAATGAAGAAGCTTATAACTCAAATGATCCACTAGAGAGAACAATTGGAGACACAGATGTTGAAAATTTAAAACCTTTATATGAAATAGATGACAATTATTTTCAAAAAATATGTGAAATATTTCATATGCCTAGAACATCTGTTATCTCAGTTGATGAAACAGATTTTATAAATAAAGAACCAGAATGGAAATCATTAGAACCATTCAAAATCGTCGAAGAAGAAACAGGTAAATTTTTGATATTTAACAACAATGCTCTTGAAAATTCTAAATAATTCAAATAACCTTAAAACATTGTAGAATAATTGTGCGCTTTGTGTTAGCAATGCTATCTATTTAATTTACAATAGAGTAGATTGTCGATCTTTTGAATAATTTGTTTTGAAAATGCCCTACAATTATTTGTACTAATATAATACAAAAATCAGATGATATCTTAGTGATTGAGACTCGAGAGAATATGCAAAATTTAAAAGATAAACATCTGTTCCATCGTCTAACTTTGACTGTTGAAAAAAAATGATGGAACCATTATTTGTGCTGAAATTTGAAATATGTTATAAAATTCTGTAATCTTCAGAAGCTCAATGGAAATATTTCCGAAAGTATTTTTTTTAAAGAAAAAATGCTAAGAACATTTTTCAACTCAGTAACATATAAATCCTACAATTAACATATTTTAGATCTAGCTTCGTTTACAAAAATAACTTTCTAAAAGTGTATGTCTAAATATCATTAGGTACTGGTACAAAGCCTTTCCATTCTAAATGATTACACTAGTGATGAAAGCAGAGAGTCTACTATTTTCTATTTCTTTGTGTCATATGCTTCACTTTTACTATCGGTTATGACGAGTACAGACAATCAGTTCAATGATTTAAATTTTGCACCAACGGAAAATTCTCTGTCGAATCGATCTAAAATAAGTTCCATAATACGAAGGAAAAATATCAACGATCAACTTTTTATTGAAATTTACATATAAATTGGATAAGCACATCTAATTGATGTCCATTATACAGTACCGTATTCGTATACAGTATGCATCATCATAGTGATGATTAAAAAAGAGACGCTCTCATCGAAAAATGACTTCTTTTACTGTTTGGCTGATTTCAAGTTTATGACAAATTTGAAATACTCATATTTATATGTGTTAAATACAGATAAATAATGAGATGGAAAAGTAATTATGGTTTACTGCAAGAGAACTGTTTCAGTTGAATTTTTGAAATCAATACAATAAAAACTAATACAATCATAATTCTATATTTATTTTAACCAATTAGAATTTTCGAATCACGAGTTACTTTTAAGTACATACATCCCTTAAAAGATAAGTACAAACATATTGTTTGAAAAAATCGACTTTTCAATAAATCTCAAATAATTAATATGAAAATAGCTTCTGCTAACAAATGATAAATTCTATTCATAACCGATTAAATGACAATGTTGTATCCAATCAATGCATAATTTTGTCTATCAAAATTCACTATTATTTTTATTGTTTACTTTAGGTAATGAAGGCACCATAGAGAAATATTGGTATCGTATGGGTATTTTATTATTAATTCCATATAATTGGAAATGGTGTTTACTCAACGATGATTTCATACTAGATGGATTTTATAAAATGTGTCAAACTGTAAAAAATGATGAAAATCAAATAAAACTAAAACAAGCATGTATTGAATTAGTTAATTATATTTTATATCGTATGAACAGACGAAGATATGAATATCTTGAAAATTTTGATTCAAGAGAATTGCTTAATTCCCTATTATTGTTATATAATTTAAAACTCGATGATAATCAATCTGTTTTAAATGCTCTTATTTCAACAATTAAAAATCATTCATTTACTCAAGGTCTATTTTGGTACGAGAGTATGCACAATGTAATATACAACGCTGGCAATGTAATTGGTTGGCATCAAATTGGAATTTATATCTATGATGCATTTAAAATATCTTTAAAAAGAAGCACTATTGCACAATCTGTGAAATTTTTAATCTCTTTTATTTCAAGTATGTTAATCGTTTTAATTTACTTAGGAACATAGAAATTGTTGTACGTAAAATTTCTATTTAATTTATTTTGTTTGTATTTGTGCTAAAAGATATGTAACGAATGGTGCAGAAGAAATTGTCGGCTTTTAATAAACTAATTATTTTCTAAAGTTAAACTGAATGAGAAAATTTCGTTTTGATGTCAAAAGAGAGAGAACTTTATTGATATGTTCTTTGAAAAATGGGCATTTGGCCTTCTCTTGTAATATTGTAAGTACGAGATACCAGAAAAACATAGTTTGCTAAGCAATTTACGAGAATAAGGTATTATTAAATGGTTTTCCATACAGAGACGTATCTGCTTTTAAGCTCCAATACGAAATCTACGAATGAAATTTCGTCATGCGAAAAATGCCTGATGGTTCAGTTTTAATTCTTTTTTTATGTCAGACAAAAGATCTTAGTCTCATTAGTAGTTTTAAAAAAAAGGAGTTCATCCTTTATATTTTGTAGAACTTGAAAATCTGCATTCGTTAATATCAAAAGATTTGTTCTTGTAAAACCAATAGATAACAAAAATATGTATCATTCGAATACCTTTGATACTACATGAGGAGGACAAATGTCCATTTTGCAAAGGATATATCAATAAAATTTTCTACTTTTTCACATAAGAACGAAACTTTATCATCTAGTCTAACTTTAGAAAACAGTCTACTAAAAAAAGTCGGTAATTTCTTCTACGCCATCCGTTAATTAGATCGAGTTATTTTACTGGTTTTTCTAGCTCAAATTGACCATTTCTTTTTATGATAGAAAAAATGACATTAATCTCGAACTATACACATCTTTTGTATCCGAATTTTCTCAAAAGACTACATCTTAAGAAGTAAAATTTATGAAGATTTGAAATTTTCGTCTTCATTGATGTGAACATTCCAAATGTAGTTGAACTTAGAATTTTGTCTGAATAAATTCACGTAGACAATTGATTTATGTAAATTGTGTGAGAATGACACTTGACAAGGTTCTCATAATAAAAAGAGAATAAAATACTCAAAGGACAGAAACTGATTTTTTTCTTATCATATATTATTAATATGAACATAAAAGATCAAAATGATTCTAATGAGATAGATATTAATACTTTAAAACTCAATGTCTCTTCCAAGGAACATTGAAAAAATCTCAATAAAACTTTACATATAAGATTGAGTGTTTTCTTTAAGACTAGTGGCGTATCCAGGATTTTTTCGCATGCTGGATTTCATCTTTAGAGCATAGGATCCAGGTGAAACTTATAGAGATATGATATTGAACTGAAATGATGAGTTTTTATCGAAAGATTTTTGCAGTAGGAGTTTGCAAAAAATATTAGCATTTTCCTGGTCCCCATCAAGATTTTTGTTTTACTATTTGTCGTATTCTTTTTTTTAGAATATAGTAGTAAGCTACATCAAAATTCATCGATAGATTTCAAATTTCATGTAAAAATCTGCATCCGTTCAAGAGTTATAACGTTTTGAAGTTTTGTTGCATACTGCGAATATTTTAGCGTACCTTCAAAACGTTATAACTCTTGAACGGATGCAGATTTTTACATGAAATTTGGAACCCATCGATGAATTTTGATGTAGTTTACTACTAAATTCTAAAAAAAAGAATACGACAAATAGTAAAACAAAAATCTTGATGGGGATCAGGAAAATGCTAATTTTTTTCGCAAACTCCTATTGCAAAAATCTTTCAATAAAAACTCATCATTTCAGTTCAATATCATATCTCTATAAGTTTCACCTGGATCCTATGCTCTAAATATGAAATCCAGCATGCGAAAAAATCCTGGATACGCCACTATTTAGGACTAAGATGATAACCTGAATAGAAAAAGATCAATCTTGAGTGAAATAATAGACTTTTTAAGACACAGAATTTTTTGTATCTTAAAACTTTTACACACTTTTTGAGTGACATTGCATGGCACAGTATAAGATTATCGAATGAGATCATCTCTAAATTTTTTAATCTATTTGTTAATGCATTATTATATCATGAAGAAAATATTCCTTTCAAGGGACATTGAGTTTGAACAAGCCTTGTATTAGAATAGGTAGTGTATAGTATTGATTTAATTCGTTGTTTTGAATAATAATAAACAAAGAAAAACTCTTTTTTTACATAAACTGAAAATAGTGAAAAATTTTAGACTGTTACAATCGAACGTAATTTCCAAGAGACATTCTATATTTCCATAAGAGAAAGTAAATTTTGTCTTTTTACTACAATATAATTATACTGATGGATCTGAAGCTCAGTTCCGATGGCTTTTTTATTCAAATTGTCACGAAAACTTCCTTGGGCTTTTAAGGATTAACTTCAAATGAATTAAATATCAGAGAAAAATGTATCTATGACCTTTAAAATGTTTCATTGAGTATATTATGCTTTTTTTGAATATTTTAGTTAATAAAACAACCACAATTTCAAGTCATACAATGATCAATCAACTTTTAAAACATGCTTTTGGTTTAAAATATAAAAGAAAACCATTGAAATTAATTGATTATTGTTCTCTATTACATTTATTGAGTGTATATGAGAAAGAGTATTTGTCATCATTACAAATAATTTCTACAACTATTGCAAAAGCTCTTCGGTCTGAAATGATTAGATCTTCAGATAAAATTTTTATCGAAAACTTTTTAGAATCAATATTAGTATCGTATTTAATCAAAATTTGGAACGATAGTTCTTCATCGACAAATCATTCAACGTAAGTTACTTTTACAACAAAACAACAGATAAAAATTTAATAAAAGAAGAAATCCTGATAGTTATGTTTGTTTTTTTCACTATGTCAAATAAAACGAGATACTTGCTTTATCTAGAGATGTTAGAATAGTGTCAAAAAGAAACGAATATGATCATTTCACCTAGTTTTCTTAACAATAAGAATTATATTGAAATTTATGTCCATATGACAAGAAAATATTTATCAATTAGGAATCATTTTAAAACTTGTGTCAGAGATGAAACCGGTCTGGATTTTTGAAGACTACTCAAACAAGCAAAATTTCTGAAAAAAACAGGTTTTTTGTAACTTTCTGAACGTCAAAACAGTAAAAACTCTAATTTTTGAGAGTAAAAACGCAATATTGATTAATCTCCAGAATAATAAAACGTTTAAACATTCAAAAGCTTGAATTTTAGCCGTTTCGTCACGGAGAAAGTTACAAAAAAATACGTCTTTTAGTGAGCGCTAAGCACTGACAATCGTAGTTCCCGTTTGAACAAGTTTTTTTCAGAATTCTTATCTGCTTGAGTGTGGTATCGTTTTCATCTCTGATTTGTCTTATACACTCATCTGATACAGAATTCATTGTTATATAGAACTAAAAATTTTATTTTTCAAACAAGTCTTTGTTATATGTGTACCATTTTAAATTTGTGACAAATACCAAAATAAAAGTATCAAATAAGACTTTGTCTAATCATTTCATATATGTGTCGTAAAGTTCTTTCGTCGAATTATGCATATTTTTAGCGTACATGTCGGAGTAGAAATTAAAATTCTACTAGGAAAAATTGTGATAGCGTATAATTTTGATTATTGATATGAGTGACTTAATATGTAAAAAAGAAATGTTTGTACATTCAAATTGAATGTCTTATTATAATATCAAAGAAAAAATTTCGAATAGCATAAAAATAGAACTGTTTTCTTCTGAACTCGACAGACACATTGAATGTTTGGATCAAAAATATCGTTCGAAATTTCATTTTAAGTCCTGATTTGGAGAAGTATGAGTTCAGTTCAGTGGAAAGCTTTTGCATTTGCTGAAATAAAATTAAATCAAATGTGGTACTTTCTGCCAAACTTCTCACACAAGGAAGATTGCTGTTTCTTTTCCGAAAAACATCGACTTTCTACCAAATTTTTAGACCTCCCTTCTACTTCCAAAAGCAATGGGGAACTCTGAACCCTTTGCTCAGTCGAAGAACAACCAGTAGAGGGTACGAGAAAAAGCGTTTTGTGCTCAGTGATAAAAAGATTTTGCCATGTTGGAACTCTTTCACTTAGAAAATTTCTGGATATGCGCCTCAATCAGTTTATACTAGTGCTGAAAGATTGCTATGGCAAATCTTCTTTTAAATTTTTCATTATAGATGATCTTCATTCTATCATGTATAATTCTCTAGTAGATTTTAAAACTACATCTTTCTACTCCGACATATATGTGAAAAATTTCTCAATAAAACACAATGTCGAAATAGCCCGAACAGACATACGATATTGATGATACTGATCATTGCAGATTGTTAATATTCTTTGTTTTTGTATTGTTTAGAAGTCCATTGTCGTCAACATGGTTTAT